AAAGGAGGGGAGGGGAGGAGAAGGGAAGGGAAGGAAATCTTGATTGTCTTTAGGAAGATGAGAACTCCATTAAAACCTTGCCTCCTCCTCTCTCCCGCTCTCCTTTTTCTATCTTCAGTCCCTCTGAAGGACCATTATAACTTTTCAGACGGCTTTCTGTCAGGAACCGTTTTCTTTCTCCTTGTTATTCTTCCTGGAAAAAAGGGGGCAATTGCACTTCAGCTTCGAGTTTTAGACACTTCAGCTTTGGGACTTGTATAATACCTCTACAAAGCACAAACCGTTGTTAAGAACCTAATTCAAACATGGCTCCCTTTTGATTTGATTTTCCCTTTTTTTTTTTTTTCCGGTCTCCTCCTCCTGCTGCTCCTGAAGAGAAAAGCCACCATTTCACAGCATTGGGCAGACGGAGAAAAACAAGTTAATGATCTAAACCTTTTAATTCAGGGAAGCTTGTCTATTTTAAGTGCTTTTCAATCTCTTGTAAACAGATGAGGCCCCAGCTTTCTTCGGCCTCTCTTATGTTTTTCCCCCCTTTTTTCCCACTTTGCCATGAAATGTGTAGTTTGTTCTTTCCTTCCCCTCTAACTGGAGGGAGAAACGCTGTTGACTGGAGGGTGATGGACAATGAGGGGAAGTGAGGCAGGCCTGCGTGTTGTCTTGCCTTGTAAGCCTTCCAGACCAGATTGGCTTTCACCTATTGTACAGTGCCTTATTGTTGTAAGGTTGATTATCAATATTTTATTCTTATTGTTAAGCTGGAGAAAGACATTTAGTAGGCAATCTTTAAAGAAGCCATTTGGATTTCAGATTACCCAGCCATATGACGCTGAAGCAGTTATGACTGCAGTCTTATGCATGCTAATTTAGGACTTTGTGAAGGGGACTTGCTTCCAAGAAAGCAGGTAGAGGATCAGCTGTAAGGAGTGTGCAACATTTGTCATGTCTTCTCCATGCTAGGTGTATCCTGTTCTTTGTGGTCGTTAACAAAGAACTAGAGCCTCCCTCTACTACAATATTAAATCTGTCCCTAACTTGCCTGGACTAGAGAGCATGTTTGGAATTTCCAGCAAGTATTGTGAGTTCTCTCTCTCTCTCTCTCTCACACACACACACACACACAAACACACACACAGAGAATCATCTAGCATTACCCTTTTGCCTGCCTTAAGGTCTCCATGAAGATGTTTTCTTTTCCTTTGCTTCCAGATCTCCAAACTTCCTATACAGTGGAGTCCCTTTTTCTTTCATTTTAGTATTGACAAGCAATTTTAGTCCACCAAATTAATTTCCTGAGAATGAACCTGGGCATATGGGGAAGAGAGACAGCGAGCCAAAAATGGTTTTCAGAGACATTTTTCTGTCTTTGGGCACCGTGGTGGACAATCCAAAGCGCTCTTAATCCAATCCCAGTTGATTTTTAAAAAATGATAATTGGTTTTCATTCAAGAAAATTAAGAACCTTCTTAACTCTTTTAAATCAGCTGTTATCTAAGTATTCAAATCTAGTTGGACTTAGTCATTTTTCCAAAGGTTGAAGTAGAAGCAAAACTATATTGGGCTCTCAAACAGAAATATACAAGATCTATCTCAACAGTACTAAAATGCTCATATCATATAATTTGAGAGGTAGACATAGCAATGTTTAATCCAGATTATTAATACAGTAGAAGAAGAAAGACTTTTATCTCTGGAGACCAATATATGAATAGCAGCATTCCATAAGCATCATCAGCATTAATATCTGCACATTGGAAACATTCTAGGAGATAATGATGTGCAAGTCCTCAGCTGAGCTACGGATGAAATTCCAAAGTTTACCAAACTATAAAAGCAAGTCCTGGGGGCAGGCAGTTCCAGTGAAACATCTGCTTTGAGGCACACTTGCAAGCTTTGGTGCTTTTCTCCTTTTTTCCTTGTATGCAGAGAATAAGCAGTAGCAGTTAATATTATATTATACAATATAATAATCTTATATTGTACTTTGCAGTATATCTGTGATGAAGGAGAAACATCATTTTAGGGCTCAGAAAGTGCTAAGACCATCCCACAAAGCAGTCTCGTCCATTGGACATCCAGCCTTAATTTGTTTTAATATTTTTTTTGCTCCATCCCCCGGATTGGCCAGTCTTTTATAAAGAATTATAAAATGATGCATCCTAGGAAAAAAATACATTACAAGCCGGCAATGCCGTCCTGAACATATCAACTCAGAAATAAGCCCTGTTTGGTTAATGAATCGTATTCCTAGGTAGCATGTTTAGAATTGCAGATTAAATTAACAGAGACAGAGAAAGGAGGAAAAACAAGTTGGTAGAAAATGTGTAATGTAATAAAGTCTACTCTTCTTGAACCAGAAAAATGAAGGTCACTGTGTTTGTTTAGAAAGAACCCAAAGGTTAACAGCGGGATAGTTCTTTTGATTAAACAATTAATTTTCTTAAAAGCTGAAGAAGAACTTCTCAGCGGAGGTGTTCCAAACATAAGGAGCTACCAGAGAAAACGCTGGCAAGTGAGATGGTGAGGGGTCCCAAGATACAGAACAATGGTGGAAGACAATAATATGCTGTCAAAGAGGGAAGATAAGAAAGAAGGAGCGAGCAAATGCAATTAAGTTAATAATAAAATCATGGATAGGATTGTAGAATGAAGAGGTCTGATGCAATGGGTGAATCAGAGGTCAATCAAACATGATGGGGCACATTCAGAGACATTGGTGGGGGGGAGGTCTGATTGAAAAAAAGGGGAAGAAGAAGAGCAGGGACTGTGATGCACTATCGTACAGCACACAGAAGTTGTAGGCATCTACCAACTCAAAGCAAAGCAAAGCAACAAAGTTGTTGGAACCAAATTACAGATTAAAAACACACTGGAGATCTTTTAGTATAATTTTGCATTCCTCCCCCCCCCCCAAAAAAAACAGGGGAGGGGGAGAGCAATACTTTAGGCCAGAAGACAGCAATGAGCATGAAATAGCCATCAGTTCCCAATCTTCTCAGTATCAAATCTCGCGTATCAGTTACACAGCGGCTTGAATCAAGACAGGTTTGTTATTCTCACTGTCTTGCATTTTTTGTGTTCAACCCTGGCAAAAGCTTTAACGTTTTCTTGTTTTGAGAGTCAATTTGAGGTTTTCATTTTGTAACTGCAAATTCCCCAGTTTTCCTTTCAATTAGATTCATGGAGTTGTGTTTCTATCTTGGAAGTAATTTCTAAAACACTACTTCCCTTTTTCTTTCCCTTCCTTCCTTTCTTTATTTTAAAGAACTGGATTGTATGCAGAAAAGAAAAGTGCTGTTTTTCTTGCATTTTTTACATTTTTATTAAATCCTGTTCTTTTTAAAAGAATGAATGTGCAGTTCAGAAACAGTATGATCTCAAACTTTGTGTTTTGCTTGTAATTACTTTAAATTTACAATTATTTTATTGCACCTTGTTTCCAAAAAGGATAATATTTCCAAAATGTACACCTTTTATTTTCATAGCATATTGATGATATCTTCCAATGAATTCTAAAAAAAGTCTGAACAGGTATTAGTAGAAAAACACTGGCCACAATTGAGCAGTTTTCCATAAGCGTGCTTGTCTGTATTAATGATTTCTATCCGAACAGACGTGATCAGCATTCTGAAATCACTGAAGGACTAACATTTACTGGATTTCAAACTTTTCCAAATGTTTTGATGCAGTTCTTGGCAGGTTGAGCATATCACCATCCATCCTTAGATACATGTTTGGAGAGCAAATAAACATGTATATATTTAAAGATAGAAATGGCAGATTTACTGCAGATATAGAAAGGAACAGAATTACAAGGTGAAAACATATGAAAGTGATACAGGCCAGAAATAGTATATTTCTGTTTTGGTGTATTTCAGTCCTACTGATTTTAATGGTTCAAGCACAATTAATTCTGTACAGCCTGGTGCAGAGTAAACTATAGCGCTCTTTCTGTGACCCCAATCTTTGTGTTAGTTCATTTTATTGATGAACTGTACTTATATAGCTGTCCCATAACCCACAGACTCTGGCCAGCTCACAAAATAAATACCGTGTTAACATACAAGATGACAGTGCTAAACTATAACTCAGTTACAAGCTTGATTTTAAAGTCCATAACTGGACTGAAGGGTGGATTGGACCATAACTGGACTTAAAGACCTCAAGTTGTAGAAAGCAAAGCAGTGGAGAAAACTGCAATGCTATGTTCACGAACTTTCTGATAAATCTACATGAGATTCTATGAAGTTCCCTCCTAAATAAACCTGGTTGTAACACACTCATTCTGGATATGCATTCAGAAGGTGCAGTTTCCTCCCATGCAAAATCCCATCAGGTTTTATGGCAAAGACACGACATTGTGAAGACATCCGCTTGCTCCATACACCATGAATTTCTACGGCTGTTTCTAAAAATGGGGACCCCCAGTACATTATAATATTTTGTCTGAAGCTGAAAAAGCTTCATTTTCCAAATAGAAATACAGTTCCCATGCACAGAGAAGGTCCTAGAAGTTTGGAGAATGGCTCCATAGTCTGGATGGTACAGTAAGCAAGGAGATTAGTACTCTCCAGAGTGCATAGGGCCCTGAACATAGTGCCTGTCAGTCATATCTTAAAAGCATGCTGCTCTGCCCTGTTAATTAATTGCCCATAATAATTGCTGGGCCTCAAAGTTCTTGCAGCTTCAGAAGGGGCTTTTGGATGGTGGCACTTAGTCTCCACAATATTCAGCCTTGATTCTTCCTTCAGGCTTTTTTCATGACTGGGCTTATGGAACAGCTCAAGACAATATTTTTCCTGCCCTCCTCACTGATTTGAAGTGAGCTTTTGTAGATTTATTGGTTGGGTTTGTTGGTGGACTGCGTGGATCCTTTAAATACACGAGAGTTATATCTGACCTATCCAGTGGAGTGGTGATGAGCCACTGATTAACCTGGAAAGGAAGCATAGAAATCTTTTAAACAAACAAATAATGCTATTCTCTCTCTCTTCCGAAAGGTAAATTGAACAGTCAAGACACTTATAACAATTTCACCAACAATAATCCGGGAAACCCTCGCCTCTCCCCACTTCCAAGTCTCACTGTGATGGTACCTCTTGCTCAGATCAAGCAACCTATGACTTTAGGAACCATCACAAAACGTACAGGGTAAGTGAATTGGTTTTGAATGGTGTTCTCACTCGCTCGCTTCAGAAAACCGTGTTAACTTTCTTAGTAGCAATGGCTTCAGTGTTACTGGTTCCAGGCTGCAGTAGTTCCTCAGGAGTAATCCTATTTAGCATTCTAGAGTTTTTGCACAAGGTTGTGGTACCTTCTTGGGGAATGTCAAGTAGGATGGATAGAATAAAAGAAAATAAGCCTGCCGGAAACACCAGGGTATCTGTAAATATTTGTCCAGCATTTCCAAACTCTTCTTTCTTTAATGGTTTATTTTCCCTAAATTAGCTGAGGGATTTATAATTAATAACACAAGAAGATTTCTATGCCTCTGCTATACCATCTAATGTTATGCTTTAGAGTAGTTTAGGCAAATGTGGCATGTGATAGAGTTTTCTGGGGGTCTGAATGTTTCAGTTTTTAATTGTGCTTTCTCAAATTTTATTTTCTCTTATTTTTTAGTTTGTGTCTACTATGTTTCCTCTTGGGCTGTCATTACCTTGGAGCTTGGTATATCCTATTGAATTATTAAAAAATTAAGATCTACTTTGAATCATTCAAAGCGTTGAATCATTCAGTAAATCAAACTGTTTAGTCATTTAATAGTTTGCCTCCTTTTGGCATATTTACTTTCCCAAAGCATCTTGCAAGCTGGTTGAAAAAGCAAGATATATTGGCAAGGTATTGCTGAATGTCAAGCAATTGAATGGCAAATTATTAAAATATATAACATTAGTAATTTCAACTTTATGTAACACTTAGCAGCTGACAAAACCATTATTTAAAAAGTGAAATAAAATCAATCTGAACCAGTTGAATCACAAAGTTTTTAGAACTTCTCCAAATCAGCCAAAAGATAGTTAAGAATATCTTGCTCAAGAGGATATTACCAGATAAGGGGCCACCACAGGAAAGTCATTGTCCTTGATAAATTGGCAACTGAATAGGTCTTATTTTTGGACCTATGAACTAGTATAATCCAAGTTCAAACTCATTAACCACCCAGGTTTATAAAAATGAGAAGAAATAGTTGGGTAAGCAAAATTAACTTTGGAGTGGGTGAGTAGTACTTTCTATCTGTATATGACCATTTGTCCAGTAAGAACTATTTTTTAAATGTTCTTTTATTTTTTATGCCCAATATATAGTTTCATTGTCTTCAGCAAATGAGCCCTATAGGTTACCATAAAAAAAAAAAAAGATATGTGAAGGATTATTAATTATAAACCTGTAAAGCAAGTAAATA